TGAAAAAATGTAGTAAAATTAAGTTTCACCCATGATGTGAAGAAAACTAGTGAAAAAATATCTCACATTTCACTTCGTGGAAAAAAATTGCGTTATCGGTCGCGAAAACATGTACACCCTATAAGTTACACCACTACACCACAAACGGGTGAAACTTCACTACAGTATCCATCCGCTATAACTATGTTGAGCTTACTCGAACCAAGCAGCCTTATTGCTCCTCAAGCTTGGCATACACTCTGCGCCATTTTCAAAGTCTTTCGTGCCTCGTCTGAAATTTTTCCTAAGTGAAAATTATTTCCAAAAAAATTTTTTTCCACATAATCTAACCTGACGAAGTTGACGAGCCCTGTGGGGCCCATGAGCTCCTTATATTGAATGTAACCGTCACCACTGGTGTCCCACCTCCGGAACAATTTGTCGAAATCTTTCTCTGAGATCACATCGATTCACTACATACCACGCCACCAGTTATACACTACCGAGCCGTTGATAGTTTATAGGCAGAGTCGACTTTAGCACAAACATCACTTCCTGCTTGTCAAGTTTACCATCACCATTCAAATCAACTGCCTGATCGAAATTTCTCAAGAGAAGTACAGCGCGAAGGCACTACCCGAAACCAGGCCTGTGGGTCCTTATCGATATCTGGAATGGGGAGATAGTAGACGTAGGGTGTCCTGAAGAAAACCTATACCAATCCTTTTGATTTCGCGGCGCGTGAAACTTGATGAATAAAAAGGGCCTCATCGAGTTCTCTCCAACGCTGTATGCAGAGTATTCGATAAGCGGGTTTTGACATTTTCCTCAAATCAAGGCCAGTTTTTCAAAGACGTGAACATGCGTTTCGGAGTTTTAGATTCTTCTTGTTCTAATTTAGAACTTCTAAAAGATCTACATCTCGTGCGGTCTTCTCACGCGTGCGGACTTCGTGAATTATGAACGCTGCACGCGTGCGCAGACCGTGCAAGCGCAGAGTATCACGATGGAACTCGGATAGTCGGGAACCTTTTCCGATTATCTACACATTCTTCCTGTCGTCTTTACAATAGGTATTGGAGTAACGAGGTATACCCAAGTTTTTGAATTCCGCACAGTACTCACGGAAATTTGTAATTAGTTTTTTGCCTTTAAAAGAAGTTTTTTCAAGCCTTGTAAAATACTCTGGCTGTATGAACTGTTCTGATATTCATATTGTGCGCTGATATATCGTCAAATAGGGAATAATCGCCTTTCAAAATTATGCCAATTTTGGTCATCAACCGTCACGCGCCACAAAATTAAAAAGGATGGGCCCTTTTCCTAAAGATGAAGCACCGAAGTGCCCATTTCCACACTACCTGCAAAGTGGACATGAATTCTGATCTGAGCTCATCATATACTTCACACATTCAACGTGGAAGTAATGAGGACAAACTCGGCGGCTGTCGGGGCCAGTGAGAACGCAAACGGGAGCCTCAGCTTTACCTAAGG